CTGCCATCCAATATCGATCCGGACTGCGCGCGTCTGTGATACTATGAGAATTCATCTGGGGAGAAGGGCTCTCGGCGCCGCAGATCGTGCGTGCTGGCAAACCTCTGGAGCTCAGGACTCTGCACGGTTCGGGCACCGAGCTCTTGGCTGATAAGTGCCTCCTCCCCTGGGGGAAGAGGAGTGGGGAGAGGAAGGGATCTAATTTTCGGCTGTCCTCACACAAAGTGGTTTCTCTGTTCACACTTTCCACTTAAGCTACCAGAGACATGACTTAATGCCTAACTGGCCTGTTTAGCATGGAGGAGATTGAGTGAGACATGGTGGTGGAATCAGCATCCCAAATGCTTCCCTGTACATGACAAGACACACTGCAAAAGATGTATGCGGTAGGCCAAACTCAACAGACTGTCGTCTGGCCTCCTGCCACCAGCCAGGCATTTCGTTGTTACTGTTAAGAACCACAAATTTGAAAGTTTGTAGCACTAAGTGAACTACGAAATAATTAGCCAGTGTCGGCAGAGGCACGGTGCCAGCCTTTATAACAAAAACCTGTGCGATATGAGAACAGGAAGGGGAAAGGAGTGTGCTCAAGACCCTGGCTAAACAGGACTGGAGGCGGGGCTAAAGTGCAATGTGGACTGAGTCCCATCAACAGTGAAGTGATTTTAAGGAAAGAGACAAAAATGTCTATTTTTCTCTGATTATGCATCAGATTATGCTGAAGTGTGTATGTGTGCCCCACACAGAGTGTCTACCATTTACGAAATAGGTTGATTAAACCAGAAAGAAGGTAGACGGCCAACAAGAATAACACAGGACAAATTCAAGCCAAAGCATGATTCCAATGCCTAGATTCTTTCTTTTGTATCAGTAACTTCAAACTACTTCTTTAACTGCCTCTCACAATGAGCAAAGTCTTATAGTATACACACACACACACACACACACACACACACACACACACACCTATGGAAGAATAAAATGTATACTCTGGGAGGAAATGATGCCAAAATGTTGTTGCAATGTTCATCTACTTAGTAAGAGTTTTTAGATCTTTTAGGAACACTGCAAAAACTATACATGACTCAGGTAGTCAGAAGAAAAATAAAAGTACATCACAAAAAAGCGAGGGCTAAATGTGGCAGCTTTCCCTAGGATACCCCAAACATCAAATGGAGGGTTATATATTTACTAAATATTCTCTGCCATGTAGACCTTCCAAATGGAGAGCACTTCTAAGA